TATATATATATATACATCCACACACAAACACACATACATACACACAAATCCGCACCTTTCCAAATGCAAACACGCCGTTACGGCAAATCAATATGTAATGCGATCCATCAACCTTAATACACCCTACCAAAAGCCAAAAAGGTTTATTTGAGGCCTCCATTCGGACATTACTTGACTTGCTTACTCATCCAGGGTCACCGCTCAACACGAACAGACCCATAAGGTCACTGTGACGGCATGTGCAGAAAGATGCTTCAAACTTTTTTGTGTGTTGTTGTTGTTGTTGTTGTTGTTGTTGTTGTTGTTGTTGTTTTGTTGTTTTTTTTGGGGGGAGGGGGGTCAGGGCAGGGTTCAAGGAGACATTTACCGAATTTCATGACGAAAAAAAGCCCACCTAACCGTGTTGCTCCACAATAATTCAAACTCATCTAAATGTATGTAAAACGCCCATTCTAAATTAATAAGTCAACCCTGCTCTTATGACTACCTGTCCAAAGTACAAATTCTTACTCTTCCCCTTGGAGTTTTTAAAAATATCATAATGACACCGTCCAAGAGGAGCATTTTTACTTTTCCGAACCAGCGAATCTAAGTTCTAGCCGTTCAGCCTGTCGATATGGCAAAGAATTTACAAAGACCACCAGCTGAGACGACTACACATTGACTTTCCTGCTTGACTATGGAGGGTCTTCTCGGAAAGAATCGAGAGTATATTGGGGGGGGTGTATTTTGTTTTGTTTTTTTGTTTGTTTGATTGTTTGGGGTTAGGGTTTTTTGTTTGGGGGGGGGGTATTTTGTTTTGTTTGTGGGGTTTTGTTTTAGATTATGATTATTTATTTTGTTACGAGCGAACAACTGGTGGCTTTATTATTCTTTTATTCGGTAATTGCATTAAAATCATTAGTGTCATTACGATCTTCCGAATACACATCGCCATCTTCGTAGAGACATCGTATTCAACTGGACGTGTCTCATCACTGCATAAACATGTAGGCGGTTTAATAGATCTTTAGGGGGCTCTGGTGGCCTAGAGGTTAAGGTTTTTGCCTCTCATTCAAAAGGTCCCGGGTTTGAATCCGGGTAGCGACCGAAACATTTTCTTCTCTAAAATTGTCTCCTTTCACATTCTTTCCTGCTCTCTAGCAATGTTCTGTTGTCTGCTTTTATTTCCACTTTCTGCCCCACCCCCTCACCTCCTTTGCCCCCTCCTCTGGGCTCCTGACTTTTTCTGCAGCCTTTCTACTGCTACTCCTTGGCTCCTCCTTACTGCTGTCTTTCTGCCACACCCCTGATCTTCTGGTCGGAAAGATCTACACCTAGTCTTCTTGGACAAGGGCGAAAAATGTCCGAGGGCCCGTGTGCAAGTTGCGCACGTTAAAGATCCCTTGGTTGTCTAAAATCTATAAGAGTAGGCTTCGGCCGCCACCCGGGCAAAATTCAAAATTTCCTACCAACTGAAAATATTAGGCGTGTCCCGCGCGCTCATATGACCTTATGCAGTTGCGAGCGCCGTAAAACACTTTACAAAAACAAAAACAATAGATCTTTAATCTGTTTTCTACCGTCAGACACATGTCTAACACATGTCTGAACCAGTGTGTCTGTTATGAAACGAAACTACAAAAATGAAAACTTGTCTAGTTGAATGTAAGCGCTGCCTACTCAGGGGAAATTGCCCAGCCGCGAGAAAGTGTAACTTGTCCTTCAGTTCAGAATAATTGACTTGAGTGCTGACTGGGTAAACTCTAAGTCAGCGTCGGTGACCTAGTGGTTATGCTCTCGGACTCGCAATCGTAAGGTCGTGGGTTCGAATCCCTTCAGGGGCCCGACTTTGTGTCCTTGGGAAAGGAAATTTACACATATTTTCCTCACTTCACACAGGTGGGAATGGGTACCCGGCTATAGACAGTGGAATATCTTGTCAGCTTGTTAGTGTTTGAGCTGAATCAGCTGCTTGCACTGTATGCTTCCCGGGAAGCTGAGAATGTTTCGGAGTGTTCTATGGTCT